TATATATATATTTTTAAATCATTAAAATAAACATCCAAATGATCCTATATATAGGAGTTAAAGGGTGGTAGGTGAAGGGACACACCCCAAACTTTAATTTCGTTCAAATAAGACCAAATTTCTCCTATACAAATTGGTCCTCAACAATTTCCAACAATAAACGCCTCATACTACATAATCTTCATCCTTGCGTGATGTCAATTCATTTCCTTCAATAGATCATCTTGGCAATAGCTCATCAAAGAAGGCTCAGAAGGACCATCGGTTGTTAATATCAAACAGCGGGAGCTAAAGAGTGCATCTTTTGACAAAAAATTGTTCACCGTTTTGGATCAGCATGCCAAAACCATATCAATTAATGACATAGTCTCGGATGGTCCATTGAAGGTCTGGTAGTAATTTTAAATTAGAAGCTTTAATTAATTATTTCACTTCGGTTTTTGAAGATAATATGCAAGTACGTATTGACATTACAGGATAGACAAGGAGCAGTAAAAGAAATCTACAAAGGGATACTGTTTTTGTGTGATGAAAGTGAACCGGAGAGTAATGGCTATATCTGTGTTAAAGCACAGTTGTGTGAGAAAGTAAACATTTCTGGAGATGCATCTAAGGAGAAGGTTTGTATGTTTAGGACCAGAAGAGCAGGAGTTTTTACTGTTTGACGGACCTTTTATTAGTTTTCGAAACAGTTTTGTCCATCTAACTTATGGTTGCATTTCTTAATACGAATCAGGGTAGTGAACCAGCTGTTCTTTCAGGATTTGAAGATTTCCCATCATCCCCAAATTGCCCCTTGTCTCCTAACAATTCTTTGCAAGAGAGAGAGAACAAAAACAACTGTATGTTTTTGAGTTCCTATTGTATCTAATCACTAGATGCATTATTAAAGTTCTAATTTCATTTACCTGTTTAACATGTTATGGTAAATGCAACTAATTGTGAAGAAAATGGAATGTTTTCTGTTGGTCTATTAAGAATCCGACTGGGCCCTTTAAAGGGGTACCATTGTCGTGTGTTAGCTGTTCGCCGTTCTGAGGTCACAGTAAAGCTGGATTCTCAGCACAAGATTCTTACTGGTTCGATGGATCAACCTTATCCTCTTCTGGTGTTGCATGACTCGGATTTAAATATTCTTTTGTGTTCTTGTAGTGAAATATGAGCATCTTTCTGAGGTTCGTGGAAGAAATTCTGCCATTTCTCAGGGGTAAGTGAATATACTATTACAAACTTGTGTTATACTATTACAAACTTGTGTTTTTATTTCCTTGCAGTGTGTTCTGTACAGTTTCTGATTCACGCTGATTTCCGCGCCACTTACATTTTTCTTAGGGACGATTCTGAGTCTTTTAAGCCATTCAATTTTCTTAGATCGCAAGATTGTTCCACAGGTAGGAATTTGCTGTATGGTTTTCAATCACCTTTTTGTGGTCTTCCTTTATTTTTCTTTGATCAGCTTCTTCTCCTTCCTACCCGCCCCTGGTTTATTTTGTTCTTTGGATTTAAATGCTTATTTACCTTGAAGATTGGATGGATGGGACAGCATTTTCAACAGATGGTGAAAAGTGGAATGCAGGAGGATTATCTACAGAAAGGTTTTACTTGTATCTGATGCCTGTTTGTAATTTATTTTTAAGCTTATAATCTCTATGCACTTATAGTTTTTATTTTTGGTGGCAAGGATGTGTGCTCACCGTGTAATATGTATACATCTTAGTAATTTTTCTGACAAGTATTTAAATACTAAGTTAAAATTTTCATTTTGGATATTTACGTTTCTCAACTTTGTTTAGAAATTGTAACTTGTGTTTCATGATTATGACTACTTTTTCAGTCTGAAAAGCGAATACTAACCAAATTTATGGTGATTTGATGATCAGAAATGAACATTCACTTGATATGACGTTTGTCATGTTTAATCATGAATATGCACCATATATCAAATTATTACTGTAAAGGATATCCGTGTTTTCATTCACTTCGTTCTGGACAGGAAATGAGTGAACAACATACAAGGAAATTATAGAAAGTGGTCTATTACTTATCTTTTTAATTAATTGTTGAGGAAAGTCTTGTTGAGTTTACTAATCGAGAAGAAATATAAAACATCTGTAATAAAAATATGATGCTGCTTTTGGAATGCAGCCAAGTGAATACTGCTTCCCATGTATTCCATTCTTATGTTGCCATGGTTATATTGTGGTGCATTTATTTGTTTATCCATGGAATGCTGTACTGATGCTTGCATTTTAAATTATTGCTCTCTTGCTGATGTATGATGTATACGTCTATTCATCTACTGTCTTCTGTAGTTTTCTATATTGAACCAAAAATGCCAGCATTTCTTTGCTGGTCTGCTTTCCCATCAAGCTTACCGGTTAGCCACAATGTTCTTCCTTCATTTTTATTATGACGGTGCATCTAATTTGGTCCTTCACATGACTAATTTGACAAGCTATATAATTTGCTCCTTCACCAGGAGTCAGGTCCTGT